CATGAGACGTGAACTTGGTCTGGCTCTCAAGTAACTCTATACACGCCGTGTCGCAACGTACGGACCGTTGACTGGGCTCTTTTAACGCCCCATATGCATCATCCGTACATCCGTAGGTCTATCTGAGGCGGCCACATCCGCTGCTCCCGCAGCGGTCGGCGGGACCCGCGGGAGGACCGGCGCTAGCTAGTGGGAAGTCCGTTTGTATATGCACCACAACTGCACAACTGGCAAACTTTCGTCCGGTCCGACTAGACTCCTCCAAGCTCCAAAGCCATAGGCGCATACTTTAGCTAGACTCACGTTGAATAGAGTTTATGTAGCCGCGAGTTGAAGAGCTGACTCCCATTAAATGAAGAGCTTGAGGACACGTACCAAAACGTTGAGGAAAGCTTGGGCGTTTGAATCTGGCTGCTGGCAGCAGCATGCCACCGTTTTGGGACATCAATCGGTGGATCCTGGATTTTCATGATTCCCAAACCGATCTTGGCAGTGCGCGCGTGCTGTGGCATGACGTGATCGAGGCGTGCAACCCCGGCCATGGGAAGTTTGTTAGCCATAGGCAGCTATTGCATGGCAGTACCTCTTCAGAACGCGGGCCGGCCCCCTGGGGCCCCAAGGAACGAGTCCTAACCGTCGTGTTGCAGGGACTCTAAGTGCGCTGCATGATACATTCACGTCGCCACTTCAGCGAGAAAAAGGGTATCTTTAATTGCACGACACTCCGGTTGGGGCCCAGTGACTCCAATTGCTTGGTCCAGGGTCATCTAATACTTGATCAAATTGCTTTTAGTATACTGATCGGCCGTCGTGCTCAGACGTACACCGAGGGACTTCAAGAAACGTCTGCCAAGATACGTCCAGTTCTTCAGGCCGGAGGCGTGATCAACAAACCCCCACATGAATAAACCGCTTTCAACTGCCTTTCAGACAACTTCAATCACACCTCAATGGCACGCGCTATTTATGAAGCGCCCGCAAAGAAATGGTCAACAGCACGAACCCCAATCTGTACTTGACCTGCTCATCGCCCGAGCCTTGACGGCTTCAGGACGTGGCCGTTTAATACCCTTTGAGGCCCTTTCACGCACCAGTGCTTATTGTGCAAGCCCGAACCCCCATCTAATATCATGTGACTTGCCTATAGGGCCTCGGAAGCTCTTGAATGCTGATAGGAGCCCTCCGGCAAGCCATACGGCCTATCACGTGCTTAATGTTTTCATTGTTACGAAGATCACGAACAATTACATGACCTCCTCATAGGGCTTTGGAAGCTTTGGTCGCGGGCTGAAGCCCTTCCATCACCTATGAGACCGTGCGTGTTCTGCATGACGAAACCCCAGCATCAAATGACCTGCTTATAATAGCGCCTTGACAACTTATCATAGGGCCTTGGAAGCTTTGGGTCGCGGGCTGGGATTGCTGAAATGGCTTTCCCCGGGGGCCCCTCTCTTCACGGTAGGCGAGTTCCGGCCGTTGCTGCTCGGGCTCCTCTTCATCGGGCCTGCAAAGTCGGAAGAAAGGTTTTTATGTCACGTAAAAGAGCTCCGTAACCACGTGGTTAGTGAGCAAGAGGCGCGATTGTTTCTTGAAGCCCATTAAGAAAGCGTGGTGGGGAAAGAGTTGGCTCTGAAAGATTGGCGACTTCGTGAGGCGCAATTTGACCAATCAATGAAGAAGCATTAGCGAACCAGTGATCAGATTCCCAAAGGGAGAATTGCAAGGGCAAAAGACGACCTTGAAGGCGAATCTACATGCACAAGAGTGAATGAGCCCGCTGCAGGAAAGGCGACTCCGTCTGATGGACAAGAAGGCCCCGCACCATCAGATTCCAGCGGGAAAAAGAGGCACTTCCATGCCTTTCAGAGGAATGTAAAGGAAACATGAGAAGGGTCATCAATTTCGTCCCGTTGCATATTAGGCATCCTGAGGGAACGGATCAGGCGTGTGAAGCGACTCGAACAGGTTCAAGCGAATCGCAGTCAAAGAAACGGAACGAATTGAAAGGGATAAGCAGAATCGGCCGCAGTGACAAAGATTCCTTTGAGAACTCGGAGCCAGTTGTCTTACGTCCAACGAACCGACTTCTGCGCTGCATTCCGTGCCATTTGCGAAAAGAAAACCTTTCTCAGAAATGTAAACATCATGAACGAAAAGAGTATCATCGGTCATCCGGCACTGTCTCAGAGTTGCACCAGACTGATTGCCAAACGAAGGGGACCTTCTGTATGCTTGCCTCGGTCCGTATGACAAATGACAAGGAGTGTCCGAGAACCTTCGACAGGGATGGAAGAGTCCGAGTGATTCCGCTTGGTAATCAATCTGGACTCCAGGTGACTCTGACAAATTGAGGAACCAATCAGCGACGGGAGTTGAGTCGGCTTTGCAGGCGGACTAGAAAGCAACGCGAAAGCTTAACGATGATTGCAGTGAGGGGCATTCCGAGTCAGTCTTTCCGCCCCCAGCAGTTGCAGGATAGAGCAAGACTTGAATGATAAGGAGGAACAAGGACAGATGAACGGAATGTCAACGAAGCCGAGCGGAACGGAATCTGTGACTGAGAAGTTACCGTCAGGGGATTGTTCGGCCGCTGAATTCAGCGAACTTTGGAACATACATGAGGAAGGAGGACCGAAGGACTGCGTGGTACGGAGCTGAACGGAACGGAAGTTTCCATTCAAACGTACCGTAAAAAGAGTCGCTGCCGCTCGATACGGTCAAGCGCGAAGCAAAACAAGTGACGACGACTGATCAGGAACGAAACTCCAGAGATCTAAACGGAATGATTTGGAACGTACCATGGGGAGAGTCCCGGCTGGCGGGCTTTCCCACCGGTGTCTTTGACCCGGCCCTGGTTGGAGTGCCAGACGTGGCACTGGATTGCCTGCAAGAAGGGCGGAAAACTACGGTTTAACGGACCTGGGTTTAAGAAGAGACGCTCGAGTTGCCACTCGTAGCACTAAAGGGCCGGCTATACCTGTGGAAAGGTATCGCCTGATCAAACTGGTTTAAATCGAGACGCTTGGGTTGCCAGAAGTGGCACTGGAGGACGTGCGTTTAGGAGGGGGAATTTTGTGGTTAGCGGGCCCCCCTTGGTGAAGAGGCGCTTGGGTTGCGGGATGTGGCACTGGACCGCCCGCGATAAGGCGGTTAAATGACCTTGGTTAACTGGACATCTTGGTGTCTCGCACTGATGTCGCTTAGTTCCGGCCCTCAAAGTTAGTAACTGCGCTTGACTCGCGTCTCTGATTTTGTTCCCCAAAGATAAGTCCGTTGCAGAGGGACATTCTCTCAACGGTATTAGTATAAGAAACACGGATTGTATCGAAAAGAGCCCATCGGAGCTCTCTTTCGCGGTCCCCTAATCCAAATCCGACTTGGCTTGTCTTCGAATTGTAAAACATTGAACTCCGCGGACGACTTTCAGAAGAAGCAGTTGTGCTCCGAAGAACCTAAACCTCCACAAGCTTGACATCTTGGCACACTTCGCTTACAGCTTCCTTTTCGAAACGGCAACTAGCAATTCAAAATGGAACGGTCAGGTACTAACTCACTAAACGCTCAAGAGTTTCACACAAAGCACGCCTTTAAGGAAGCTCCTAATTCTGAACTGCACGAACAGTTGGCCAAGCTTTTACTCCGAGACGAACAGAAAACAAACGGTTGAAAGGACCAAAAATAATCATTGTGCTTTGCTTGTAAGAAGTGGATCCTTCAGATGTGTCACCCGGGGTGGTTATGTACTAACCTTAATTGCAGAACCTCCTTCGTTGGGCTTGGTCCTGGGCTAATCTCGCCTTCACGGTTATCCGAAACCCGCTCGTCTTCACCCCCATCCAATACGTTCAGCTTCAATCCAGCTTGGTCGCCTGCCTCTCCGGTCCCCTTATCCCCGGAGGGAGTAACGGGCAGACTTTCCGGGTTAAGTGCCCGGTCGGAGGCCTGCTGCTTTAACCTCTTCCTAACCTGGTGGCCCCGTAGCTGCGCCTGGATCCTCATCGCTGCTGACTTCTGCCTGACGTAGTTCTTGCGTTCCGCGTAACCTCGCAGCGCCTTTTGAATCAGAACCGCAGCCTCGTCCTGGCTAACGTCCTTCCTTAACCCGGCCCCTGACCCGTTTTCCTCCACCCCTGGTTCTCCGCCCGCTAACCGTGCCAGCTTCGCTTGCTGTGTTTGGCACAGCGCCTGTAGCCTTCTCAGTTCCTCCCGCATGCTCCCCGGGGTCAAGCTAACCGCGCTCTCTAACCCAGTTCCATCCCGGGGGCTATCGTGCCCCGAGAAGTCGAAACCCGGGTTAGCGAGGGAGTAGTCGCCGTCGGTTAGTGGCGGGAGAGGGCCGTTCACCGACGCGGTCGGGCTGTAGGTTTCCGGGTCACCCGTAACCGGGTTCTGGTTAACCACCTGGTTAAGCTGGCGCTTGATGGGGTCCAGCTTCTTGCGAAGGGAGCGGATCTTCATCGCGTCCATCCGGATCTCCTTGTTCCGTTCCTGCAAACGGAACGGAAACGGTTCACTCAAACAAAATCTGGGTAACAGGCAGATTGGTGTGACTAGGGAACGTAGTGATCCACTTCAATCACTGAATCGCGACAATTTCGTTTGAACACGTATTGGTGCCAGCGAGGCAATCAGAGTGTTTTTGTGAACTTCTCTCTAGAAGTGGCAACCAGAAGAGCCTTGACTCGTTCTTGTCAACGAAATAGAACGTAAAGGGCTCTCACAATTGGAGGATGCGAAGTGGAAATGGCTTCGTGGAGACGTTTCTGGCCGCAAGAGCACATTTCCCATCTCTTGAGGATGAAATCTTAGCTTTGAAGCAAGGATTTAGAACTTGGCTTGCTGATGCCGCAGCAAAACAAACAAAGCATAAGAGCCTGATGCAAAGGAGACTTGGGGGAACAAACCCGGGTACCCCTCCGGTATCTTCTTTTTCTCAACCGGTTTTCACATCCCCCCAGGAAAATCAAACCATCGAAGTTGAGTGCACCACTATGAAATGTCTGCTTCATGACCCTGGCGAAGAAAGGCAAACTCTTAGTAGAAGCACTGGAAAAGCAACTATAACGAAACTGAGAGTCTGCAAATCTCTCACCTCTAGTTCCGCGGTGAGCCGCGCGACCTCCTTCTTGAGGCCCGCGCTCTCCTTGCGCAGCTCCTGCGCCTCGATTTTGTGCCGGCGCGCGTCGGCCTCGCGCGAGCGCTGCGCGATCTGCACCTTGTCGCGCAAGTCCTGCAAAGGCCGCGCGCGACTACTCGTGAATGTTATGCTTTCAACATCTCTCAGTAGAAAGGTATCGAGTGCAAGGGCTGAAGTGAATTCACGTTTGACTTCCCATTGACGATGATTATTTTGCTGTTAACTTGAATGACAGAGCAGAATCTGTTATGTCCTGAAAGAAGCTTGGTGGCTTCTTATCGACATTAAGTTCCAATCAAACGAGAAAGAAGATCGACTTGTTCAAATTGACCATTGTAAGTACAGCTTTCACGCGCCCCGCACCCGCACCCAATCCTAAGCGTCAGGCTAACCGAACCCTGTCCCCGGGCATGACCTTCTAGGTGACACGTCCTTGTACGTCGTTTGTAGCGTCGAGACTTCGCAGAAGTGGCCGTGAACGACAGCAGCGCCTTTGTGTAAGTACTCGCGAGGAACGCCCACAGCAATGGGAAGAAAGCCTAAACGTGCTGTCTCAAGGGCGACGCGAAGATGCTTCCAAGAAGACGGGACATAAGAGCAGGAAGGGAATACTTAACGGGACCAGAAAAGAAAGGGGAATGTCTCGTAGTATCAGCAGAAACAGCTCTAAGCGCCTAGGCGTAACAAGGTGCGAGCAAAATATGGAAGCATAAAAATCTAACAGGCGATCTTACCCGGATCTCCTTGTCCTTGCTTTCCACCTCCCCAGCCAGCCGTTGCTCTTCGCTGATCTGCGTCTCGGTTCGATTGGCCATCTGGAGACTGCCCTCCAGCGTCGCGACCCGGTCTTGTAACCTCAGTATATGGTTCTGCTGTGCGGCCACTTGGCGGTCGCCGCTTTGCGACCGTTCTTTGTACTTTCGCACGCGGTCCTGCGAAGAGGAGAAAGAGTCAATCATTACAAGATGAGACATTCCTATGAACACCCTCGAGCGTCCCAAATCGGTCCTGTTCTGTTTGTACACACTTTGGCGTAAGGCGCCGTGTGACCCCTCTTTGTTCTTTCGCCAGCGATCCTGCGTGCAAAAGGAAATCTTATTCGTCAGAGAGCGAGGGACTTGTAGTAGCCCCAAATGTCGCAAATTGGTCCTGGAACGTTACTTTGCGACTCTGCTTCTGCGGATTGTTGGCAGGCCGCTCTTTTGCAACTGTTCCTTTTACTTCCGCCCTTTGTCCTAGAAGCGAAACGGAAAGGGGGCCCGATTGATGGAAGCAGTTGGAGAGGAAGCACCGTTTCTGGTGGACCTTTTCTGGTTGTTACGTGAAGTATTTCGAATTGCTACCTTCCGCACGACGGCGGGAACAGCTTTCAGCGCACCCGACTGAGCCTTTACTTCGTCCGCTGATATAATGTGCCTGTTGCGACGATTCCACTGGTTACAAGTGCCGAGAGTCTTCACATTGAAGCGCTGAGTTTAGGTGCAAGACGTAACCGATAATCGACCGAAGTGTTCAATAAGCGCCAAATTCGATCATGTGATCCAGTTGAGCACTTGTGGGACAACTGACTTCTATCAGAAGTGTTTCGTCGACCGCTCCCGTAGCTTAGAATGATTGGTTTCGTTCGAAAGGTTGGCAGTTTAGAAAGAGATTCCATGCCGGGGCTATTTTCGTCCTGTTTCTGTTTTAAGCACTACAAGCTGTGCAGCAGCAAATCTCAACCTGCTTACCGTGTCGTCAAAGAGCAAAGAACACACAACAAAGAAGAGGGAACGGGTTAACGGGACAAAGTTTGTCTTGCATTCCTGCACGCCCTCCGCGAAACGTTCCCTGATAACTCACCAAAGAGAAAGAGACTCTGTGTTCGAGGTCATGTCGAGGAAACTCGGTTTAGCGAAGTCATCGGATTGGTGACCAACCTTGAGCACCCGGATGTCCTCCAGCAGGAACTTGACTTGTGACGGCTCGTCCCCTCTGATGTCACCGATAGCTGGTGCCTTAAGCAGAGCCGGACGGTCAGTCGGCAGGCGCATCAGCTGCGAGGATGGGTTAAAGGACGGGTTAGCAACACACTGGGGGGGTTGGAAATTGGTTCCAAGGCGTGACTTGATTGGATTGTCACGACCGTAGAGCCGCCCCAGGCAGTAAGAAGCGGGATCAGCCGCAGAAATGTAGTTTAGGAGGTGGGTTGTGGTGCCTGTCATCATGCAGCCAGCTTGGACGCACGGTGAAATGAGAAAAAGATGCCGGGTAGAGCGGGACCGCGCCTTGCTGTTTCCGAGTAATGTCAGCGTAACGTTCCAGGGATGCCGAGGGATCGAGAGACACGAATAAAAGAAGCACGAAAAGAGGGAGTTGCAGAGCTGCCGGCAAGTTTTGACACTTTCTGATTCCAAGAAGGAGCACACTGGCGCTTCTTACCTACAGCAGCGTTTGAGGTGGCAGCAGAAGACATGATAAATAGCAACGTTTGAGGTGGCAGCAGAAGACATCTTTATCATGTTTTGCTTTGTCCTATTTACACATCCATTTTCTGCTGAGCCTCAAAGGCACCATACGAAACCAACGACTTCAGAAATAAAACTCAAAAACCAGGACGGGTACATTCCCCTTGTCTTTTCCAGGTCCTGCGGATGTTTGTCTTCGATCCAGCTTCATAAGCAATTTCTTACCAAACCTCGAAACTACCCCCCCAATTCAACGACTCCAGAAGCAGAAACTGAAACGAGATCACTCTTCCACCTTTTCCAGGTCCCGCTTCTCCTCGTTGAGCTTCTCGATTTCCATTTTGCGGTGCGCCGCAAGGCTCTCCACATGCGCGATGTATTTCTGTAGCTCCTGCAAGAGACCGTTCGTGCTTGTACATATCAGCACACGGTCTACTTGATTTTCACGAGATTGAGAATGTTGCACAAATTTTGTGCAGCTCTTTCACAATCTGGCAGTCCGTTTGTAGTCAAGCAACATGATGATTTCAAAACATGTCGAAGGAATCTGAGGAGATCAGCGGAGAACAACGTCTCCCCATCTCCTTTGACTTATTCACAGTCTCTTCAAGCCTGGCGAACTCGTCGCAAATAACGTCTCGGATCCCCTTGAAACCTCTCAAACCTATGTGTGGGTAGGTCGTAACCTGCAGGATCCCCGTTGACCGGTGGCACGTCCATCTCTGTTTAAGACTCCAAACTTTTGCTCCCAAAACAAAGATTGCTTCTCAACAAACAGACTGGCCCGATGTGACCTGCCTGATCTCCATTGATCGGTGGTTCTTCAAACTTTTCTCTCAAGGCTGGCAGGAGTTGTTTCATACAAAACAGCAAGTCGTTACCTGCATGATCCCCATCGACCGGTGGGACGCCCCGGGGGGTGACGTGGCATACATTGTCATCTCGGGACCTCTCTTCCGCGAACGACTGCTGCGGACAGTGCTTTTCCCAGGCCCCGAGGGAGGCAGGGAGTGGGGCGTCAGTGGCGCGGATGCGGGGTCCCTGTGAGAACATCGTTGAGTTTTTTGGTATTTCAGTCCCCCTCCTTTTGATATTCTATCTTGTTGACTACTCTGCGCTGCTATTCAAGTTGCTTAGTGTTTGAAAGTCTTGGTCGAGAACGATGTTACGAGCGGGTAATAAGCTGCTGCTGCATCAAAGAGAGCTCGCCCTGATCACGTGCCCACAGTGGTGTGTACACGTAATGTACATGCCTTATTTTGTTTCTTCCTCTACGTTAGATTTCTCTTCACCAAACTTCATATGGATTAACCATTGTTTACCAGAGCTCCTTGTGCAGGGACATAACCACTGGACATTCCATTCAGTATGGGTGGCAAAGTCGTTCTGTTTGTAAATCTGTGGCCAGAATCTGTTGCCGATTTTGATTCTTGCACTGGATGTACTAGCTCGATTCATATCGGAATGGTTAAAGCTCTTGTGTAAACGTTCATCTCAAGGACGGCTTCCTCCTGCATTCCTAAAGTGTTTGTTAAATCCTATTTCAAGTAGGATAACTACGCGCGGCCTCAGAGTATGACGGTATATCTTTTTGTGCTGCTTATGTTCTGATCCAGGTACTCACATTGTTTCATAGTTGGCCCTCCAGAGCACGCCTGTTTGCGGACCTTGATGCTAATGATGAGCAATCCCAAGCAAATTTTCCCCAGGAGGAGGAACTTCCTAAATGGCCCAGGCCTGGCAAGGGTGCTTCCACTGATGGTTGTGCGAATTGAGCTAGACTTTGTCAGCTAAGCTCCAAGCTGCCCCCATTAATCACTGCCTTCATTGATTGAGACAAATTGCTAAGCTGCTACTGCCTAGGCTTGAACGTACTCTAAGAAAATGTGGCCAACCATAAAGGTCAGGCTGCATGCGATGGTGTCAAATGTGTTCCACCTGCAGTGGATCCTCTCAGATTACCGTGCTATGTGCAAAGTCTGCTTGACCGACTTTCGTTCTTCTGGAGTCTTTTCATGATGGTCGGGTACGTACTTTCTCAATTTGGCATGGTCACTCTGATGTTCCCCATGCAACCCTCAGACTTATACGCCCCTGTTTCAGCCTGAAGTGACGGACTGCAGGCCCCAAGGGCCCTCCATTGCCTTCTGCTCAAGTTAGGCAGCATCAGATGTTCCTTTTTTCGACAGGCTGTGCCTGTGACGGCCTTGCAAGCAAACTCTTTTCACTAGACATTGGTGTGAGGGAAGCGCCTACTTCAACCTAATTCCCGAATAACTGCGCTTTGGCGGCAAACCCCTGGCCAGACAAACCTGCCTGCTACCGTACAGCCTACAGCTTCAGCCTCCAGGAACTTGATCGAATCTCAAGAGCAAGCCGCCAAGGCCCAAGGGAATTGGTGCAGCAATTGCACGGGCGCTTTAGACGCGCTCTACCCCGCTCATGTGACCAAAACTCTCGCACAAGTTTCCTCTCTTCATAAGAGAAATCCAGGAGAAGTTTGATCGGGAAAGAAGGCAATCTTCGCATGCATGCCTTGACGTGCGAGGGCGGCTCTAGCTGTAGCGCAGCCGTCCACTTCGTTTCACAAATTTCAACGGCCCTCTCCTTCAAAGCTTCGTCTCGGAGTGTTTCTCGAGCGCGCGCATGATGATGGTCGGAGATTGCTCCCGGGTTCTTGGGCCAACGACCGGTCGCATATCAGACCTGATGTATTCAAACCTGGGAAGCGCCATTGAGCCCGGGATACCGAAATTTCGGGTTCGGGTGGTCGGGGCTGGAAAGCAGCAAAACCCTAGGACCCAAACCCTAAATTTGACCCAGCTCTTGTCCAGCTCTTGTCCACTTGATCATGATGTCAACAACATTCACGGTTCATGCTGGCACCCAGCACAATTTTTCCTTCTTCAACGCCTCAACAATGGCGTCGCCGCCAGCATTGGGACGCTGTTAGGTTCGTTCAGCACCAGGACGACAGCTCTGCACTGACACGTTGTCCCTTCCCTCCCTGCCTTGGCTACTGAGTTCAGCGCCGGCAATAGATTTGCAGCAAAGCCGCTAGCTGATCTATTTGACTAAAACAAAGTTTCTTACTTTGCATTGGATCACAGGGTCAAGAAAAAGCGCAGCAGAAGGAGAAGAGAGGGTTTCCCGCGGTCAAAGTCGCCCCTAGCGCTGAGATCCATATGATGGACAAGAGCACTCCCGTGGATAACCATTCCGAGGCAAACCCGGCTACTTCAAGCGGAGATGCGCCAGGCAACCCCGAGGCTAACCAGAGCGTTAACCATGGTGCGAGCAATGTGAGTTTGAGGCCAGGTGGGGGCTCGTCCGTTTCACTGCGCCCAGGAGGGGGAGTGTCATTACGCCCGTGGGGAGGGGTCTCTCTGAGACCTGGAGGCCCCAGTCTTAGTGCGGGGGCCGTGCGACAGGCAGCACCAAGCAAGGCGCAACAGGTAACACATTTGTTTCGAGTGCGGTGCCAGGCCCAGATGAGGATAACTCTGAGTCACTGTACGGATGGTTTCTCTTTTGAGTTGGTAATGGTTGTTTCTTTTCAAGCTGGGTGCCTTACATAGGCATATGTTTTGAAGCCTGGCGGTAACCATATTGGCAAAGTGGTACCTTGAGATAGTGATCCTTGTTAACGACGTGCAATAGCAAGCGCGATTAATGAGGATTCGTTGCTGACATTCTAATGTGGAAAGGGTTTTGCATGCGTGGTTGTGTCCATTCTGAAAAAGCCCTCTCTGCATTTCATACTTGCGTCTCCGACATTCTGTTGGTAAAGGTTACAAAAGCCTGAGGCATGTGGATTGCGCTGTAAACCCTAGGGTTTCATGTTGTTGATGTCAATGGAGGGAGGCTGAGAATTAATGAACGTGGCAAGAGGGGTTCGGAGGTGAATACAGAGGCGCCACACTGCGTTGTCTTTGTTCTCATATATCTCGCTCGGCAGCATCGAATTGATGCTTCTCTGGCAGCATTGGACAAGATAGAGCAAACCACGCATTTCGCTTTGGCGGTCACTCTCTTTAAAGGAAACATGTCAAGGTAGCTGCTGCTGAATGATGAGGAAATCTTTGTCGCGATCCTCTGTGAGCGATTAAACAACATACACTCTAATTTTTTCCTGACAGCAGCAGCACGGACCTTTCTCGTTTTGGATCTCGGTGTTGGGTTCCGTTGGTTCCCCGCCTGTTTTGGACGAACCTTTGCACTGGTCCCTTTGAATTATGCTTTCGGGGGTCCCTCAAAAGCTCTCATTGGAAGAACCCCGGAACATGGTTTGGGGCGCTTGATGTGCTGTGGCTACAAGTTGTGCCGAAAAGATTGTCTCTTGTGGCAAGGTGTCATGTGATCTCATGAGTGCAAATATTGCCACTACAGTCGAGAGGCATGTGTTCTACGAGATTGAATATTTCTTAATCTTCAGACGAGAAGACATGCTGACTGCATTGATCAGCGTCGCACTTGTTCCTTTGGTCTCCAGCGGATCCTCTAATCTAAAACCAGGGAAGTGCGGTGCTCGAAGCTATAGTTGCACCACCCAGACATAGCGCTCGTAGCTTGGCAGACCACCAACTTGGCATGAGGCATGTAGTCTTGTTCTCTTGGCAAGGGTCCTTAGGAGTCCCCTTGATCGTCCTTGTTTCTCATTAGAAAGCAAGAAGAAGGGGGCACTTTGAAAAGGACTCTTTATCATATGTGATTTGAGCTTTGTTGACTTCCTTTCGCGCATCTTGTGGTGGAAAGCCACGTCGACTTGCCCTCATATGATGTAGAAACTTTTGAGCGGCTATCCATGTTCGCAGTCTGTCTAGCATGGTGTATTGGGCAGTCTTGTCGACGAGTTTTGTTGTTGATGCTGCAACTACTAGCAACATCTGCAATCTTCCTTCTGGTATACACATTGCTGCGATGGTCCTTTCCTTTTTAGAAGAGGCCTTGACTCAGTGGTGGATCAAGAAATGTCTCGTGCTTCTGAAAAGCTCTGTGAGCTGAGCGGTCTTCTGTGTTCTCCCACCCCCGACGGTTTAGTTAATCTTGAAAGGGGAAGCGGCTTTTAGAACAGATGTTCTGTGCTCTGAAGCAGCCAGACTCTGTCACTTGCCTCCTAAAATTTGAAACGAGCTTGCTTATTGTCTGAGCAAAGGGTTTCCGTTTTTCTCTAGAAAGGCGGGTTCAGGAATAAAGAAGCAAGAGGCTTGGAAATCAAGTCTGAAAGAAACCACTCTGATCAGACTGTTCTTCTGCGTTTCTCAGGTTGATGACCTCGGCCCGTCTCCAGCAGAGCAGAGGGCCCCTGGCAGCACTGACAGGCACCGGTACAATCAGTCTGAGCTGCTGAAGCTGAAAGAGGTGAGCTTCATTTCCTGTTTTCCGTTCTTTGATTGCCTCTCACGAGGGCAACACTCGATCATCCTCTATGAAAGAGGTTTTCTTCGGTTTCTTCTGGGCGCAGATCAGAAAGAAGGGCCATGTTCGATGGACGCACCTTGACAGGTAGACCCAACAAAAGAGTAGCATGAACGACCACACCCAACTTAGCCTAGTTCTTTGGACCCCCCAGTTCAGGCAACTGCTGCTCTCCTCAAAACATACATGTTTGCTGAGAGTGTTGGAAATCATCCATTCACCTTTTCAAACCGTTCCTCCTTTCTTCAGACCTTTCAGTGCTAGTCCCGGAAAGCTGCTTGTTGGAGGCCACTTGGAAAAGTCTCACAAAAGGTTTCCTATGCGTCCCAACTCGTTCCTCCTGGAACAAGCAAGCCCTCAGCTCGTGATCCTTGTGAACAAAGTTAACCCGTTTTTGAACTGGTGCAGGTTTCCAAAGGGATCCCCAAGGAGCTGCTCTCAGCCGGCCTTGCGCTGCTGAGGGCTGATGGACAATCCCAGGCAGATGGCAACTGGAACACCCGACGAGACCTCGGACCCGCTCCCCCCACAGCCCCTGTGGTGAGATCCATTTCCACTTCTGGCTGTCAATTAACCCGTGGATCAGTCCTTGGACATCCATGGATGTATCCGTGGATGAATTCTTGGAAGTCTGTTTTTTCAGTGATGATTACTATCATCTGCTCGTTGGTCCATGGTGAATGTGGTCATCTCTCCATCAATCGGTCAAAGGTTTGCAGCTTTATTTTTGGGCTTGCTTGATGGACAGATTTTTTTGCCCTGCGAACATTTTCTCAGACAAGCTATCGGCTCACTTTCAAATCCTTGGGGGTTTTACGTGGGTTTTCTACTTGGAGTTTAGATTGCCCCACATCACCTTCTTTGCATTGTTATTCCCTAAACCTTTTAAGCTTCCCTCGCAGGCCGATGACAGGGACTGGAAGGCTAGAACTCCACTTCCCCCCCCGCCCCCGGAGCAGGCGGAGCAAAACGGAGTTGCCCCCAGGCCGGCCACCCCCCAGGATAAGCGGGGGCCGAAGCAGGGCGGAAAGGGTGGAAAAGGTGCAAATGGCGAGGGGCGAGTTGAGACGAGGCAGCCGATTGAGGCGCCAAGGCCGCAGCCTCAGGTGAGCACTGGATATGGGGTTCATCTATACCTGGCTTGCTAAGTTCGTCGTTGTTTAAGGAAGCACTTGTTGTTACGGTACTCTGAGCGTAGCCACAGGTGAGCAGCGGATCTGGTTGTCTAAAACTGGCCCGCTAATTCTGCAGCCGTCATACTCAGGAAGCACTCCTTTGGTACTGCGTTTTCCTGATGTGCTGAATCTTGACAGAAAGTTCTTGGTTGATGAGGGGTTCAGTAACATGTCAGGAGGTTGGCAAAGTTTCATACAGATTTTCTGATGGTATGCCCTCACTTTACCTCGTCGTTGAGACCCTTGAAGGTGGTCATGGTAGCTAATTTAGCCTTATGATATGGGACACTTTTTTCCCATTCAGCTGATCGGCCTTTCCCGCGTGATTGTCAAAGCCAGCAAACCCCCGATCTGCGGGCCCAGCAACTGCAGCAGGGTTGCATCTTGGTATGATGCAACTACGCACACCTCAAAAAGTGTTCAAACTGCACCAAAGAACTTGGAATTAGTTTTGAAAGCAGAACTGATCAAATTGATCCTAACGACCTTTGCAGGCGGCCGGCCCCGCCCCCGGAATCGTCAAGACGGCGAACCCCTGGAAGGCGGGTGGCGTGCAGGACCCCAGCGAGAAGCTGTATAAGACAGTCAAGGGTGTGCTCAACAAGCTGACGCCCGACAATTACGAGAAGCTGTTCAACCAGATTGTGAGCGCGGGGATCAGCAACGCTGACATGCTCCGAGGCGTCATCAGCCTGGTAAGGATGATTGGTGGAGTCTGCGTCATCTGGATCGTTTGGCACTACGCCTTTTATGGGGTTTTTAGGAGATTAGTCCGGTTTTAGCCTTCTTGGTCACTGCCTTCTTGACTCCGGTGTCTATCAGATAATATATGGTGTGAACAGCCAATGAATCTCATAGAACCAATCTCAGGCCGCCACGAGTGTGCTTAAACATGCCACAATGGTTTGGGTTGGGGTTGTCTCAGGTTCGATTGGCTTCTTGCGCTCTTTGGGAAGGCAGATTGTGGTGCTTTTGTTGCATTGACCCTATGCCGATAATGGTATGTCATGTGTGCTTCTAGCACTTGGAGATCTTCACGAAAATAATACTCGAAACCGACGTTTCTGTCCTGTGTATGAGAATCTCTTCGCGCCTGAACCTCTCAATTTTGCCACGTGGCAGCTCCTGATGGTTGTTTATCAATTGTTTGCAGATCTTCGACAAGGCTGTGCTCGAGCCGACGTTCTGTCCCCTGTATGCGGAGCTGTGCGTGAAGCTGTCCAAGGCGCTCCCCGAGTTCAACGAGGGAGAGGACAAGCCCGTCACCTTCCGGCGCGTCATGCTCAACACGTGCCAGGAAGAGTTTGAGGCAGCGGAGAGCCTCCGGGATGAAGTCAAGAGGATGACGGTAACGGGCTTTTCCTCAGGATACAGGGTGTGCTAAATGATGTTTACGCTTCAGGATGCTGGTTTCTGATGCCCAAACACTTTTGAGAGAGGAGTTGAGGGGGCTTTCAGGATGAGGAAGATTGATGAAGATGGTGCGACTAATCTCAGTACCCCTCCATTCGGGGAGAACTCGGAAGGGCGCAGAGCGCCCAGACGAGGAGCAGACGGTGAAAGGGCGCACGATGGGCAGCTTAGAGGCTGCCGTCAGAGCTGTACAAGCAAGTCCATTACTCTGAATTCAAAACCGTTGCCAGTATGTTTCTGAAGGGGGGAGAAGAGGCGGCAGACACGGAGCAGAAGGTCAAGCCGCAACGAATTGACTGATTGGCAACTTTGACTAAAGTTGTGTTAGTCAAAGTCAAATCCTACTGGGTGGACAATAAAAGAGTTCTCGCTTTGTTGTCTGCAGAAAACGGAGGAGGCTGCCGAGCGCGCAGATAAAGAGCTGACGGTGAAGCGGCGCACAATGGGCAACATCAAGCTCATTGGAGAGCTGTACAAGCAGAAGATGATTCCTGAGAAGATCGTCCATGCGTGCCTGCAACAGCTGCTGGGCGACCCCAAGGCTGAGCCCGTTGAGGAGAATACCGAGGCGCTCGTGCATCTCCTCACCACGGTAAAGGATTGTTGATGTACCTTTCTCTCTTTCCGGCTTTCGTCTCTGCTGTTTTGGAGGAACGTCTTTTTCTCTTTTTTCAATTTGTTTTGCTCCTTTTGTTGGGCAATAGACACGTCTTTCTATCTTTCTGGCTTCTCTTCTCTGCATACGGAGGAACACCTTTTTTCCTCTTTAAAAGCCTTTATGCTCTGTTTGTTTGGCGGTAGACAACATGTTTCATCTTTCCGGCTTCTCTTCCCTGCCTATTTGGAAGTGGCATGCCTCCGTGTTGGGAAAGTTGGTCTTGCATGTTTTTTAGCACGGCTTGGAAACTGAAGTCGTCTCTGCACATACTTGTACAAAGTTGTTCCCGTACCCGTCTTGTTGGTTTCCATTTCTTGTCGGATTCTGGGCCCTGCTTCCGGGGGATCATCGTGTCTACTTGACTCGACTTAGGTGTTAGTTATAATTTGTTGGGAATGTTATTCGACCCCTATGACTCACCAATTGACTCCTCACACCTAGCATGAGCTCTGCACTTAACGCGTCGTTTGTTGCACCACTTGCAGTTCTTGTTCAGACAATATGATGTCCACTGTCTTCAGGTTGTAAAGCAGCTAGGACTGGAACGGAACTCAGCGAAGCCGTCTGGCAGTAGGATAGGAAGGAACGCATTTGCCAAGTTGCATTTGTCAAACTCAGAAGTCCTTCTCATTGCATTTTATCCTACTCACTCAGGTCGGCAAGCAGCTGGAGATGAAGCCCAACAGTAAGAAGTTTGTTGGGGAGTACTTCGAGTCCCTCAAGACGCTCCAGACGAATCGCAAGCTGCAGACGCGCATCCGCTTCCTCGTGCGCGATCTGATTGAGAGGCGCGCCAACAACTGGGTGCCGCGTAGGGAAGAGCTGAAGGTGACGACGACGAGCAACAAGTCGCTAGAAGCGCAGTTCGGGCTGATCCCGCCCAAGGGAATGAGGGGTAAGTGGGAAAGTGCTTTCTTTGTTCCGCTCTTCGACTTCTCGTAGGTTTGCTGTCTTGTTATTGCTTGTCTTCTTCGAACTTTTTGGCAGGTCATGGAACTACCTCACGAGCGAACTACAAGTATCTTCTATTTCTCCCTAAGCAATTGCCTGTACTTCAGAGGCCCCTCCTGTGGTTACATCGTGCCACCAGTCTCTTTTCTTAACGCCCCTCCCAGATGCATCGGGGCCCACCTCGGAAAGCGCGCCCCAGTCTGGTGAATCCTTAAATGTCTTACCTCAGCAGTTTTCGAAGCTTTATGAACTCCTTCCCGCTTTTCCCAGACGGTTAGCTCTTCCCTGAAGGACCTCACATGTTCTGGTCGTGCCGCCTGTTGGGGTAGAAGACGGATCAAAGGTTGTTGGGCTCAGCGGAAAGCACAATTCCTGGCTTACCAATATTTCAAGATTTACTTGAAGATACTGTTCGAAGCTGACCGGCTTTGTGTCTATTAACGCCCCCTCTTTCCTCAAGGTCCTTCCCGGAGCCCGGTTGTGCCCCCTGTTCTGGCGAAGAGGGATGGGAAGTCTTCGAGCTGAGTGGGCAAAGCGCGCCTCAAGGCTGGCAAACGGTTCATCAATTTTTGCTGACAAAGTTAGTGACCAATGGCCTTTTACCCTTTTTTCCAGACGGTCCCCTCTTCCCCGAGGGACCCTCACGTGGCCCGGTTGTGCCACCTGTCCCGGTGGAAGATGGTTGGGAGGTCGTCGGGCTGAGCGGAAAGCGCGCCCCGAGGCTGGCGAATCTTCCGGGCGCTCCCCCGGCCATTCCCCCGGTCTCTACTGGGCCTCCGACTCTGCTGCCGGGAATGGGCCCCCAACGTATTCCGCCCCCACAACAATTTGCCGGTAAAAGCAGGTGAGTGCGGAGGACGAATTTTGTGTGTTCGTTCCACTCTTCAGTTTGGAAAGGGGCGCCTACGCATCTGGTGGTTGGGAACAATCCGCCCGGAGAAAGCAGGTGAGACAGAACAACTCTCCTATGCGTCCTTTTGTACTTTATCGGATTGTTATCTTTGGAGGGCAAATCTAGTGGCGGGTATAGTCCCTGCAGTGGGTCTGATGCTGGAAGCATTTAGGTAGAGTTGCTCAGGGTCTTGTCATTTCTCCCAGGATTCCCAATAGCGAGCACATGATGTTCTTTAATTTCTGCCCTTGTTTGGACATTTTCTGCTCTTGAATCTGAGGTCGAAGTTACGCGGTTTGGGTATCCCAGCTCTGCGATCGATTGAGCGTTCTTGTACCAGACTTACTGATCACTAGTTATGCCGCCCAGGCCTTGTTTTGGCGTCCTTCGACCTTTTTTCACAGTAACATCATAGTACTCGATCGAGGAGCGAGGCCTACTCTTCGTCAAGGTTGTAACACCCCCACCTTAGTTTGGCTTCCGTTCTGAAAGGCCTTGTTTTGACGTTCTTCGCCATCTTTCTGCAGTGCTCTCATTGGCAGCGGCCCTGGAGCAAGGCCCAACCCTCCACCAGCCCGCAAGGAGCCCACTCCCGAGCCGAAACCCGCCCCGGTTAGCGCCCCGATTAGCGAGAAACCCGCAGCCAAGAAGGAGAAGCCGCTGTCCGACGAGGAGAAGGAGGAGCAGCTCGTCAAGAAAACGGACTCGTTCCTTAAGGAGTACCTTTCAGCGTGAGTGCATTTCTTCTCTTTCTTTCTGCTCCCTCATCATGCAGACCCATCATGCAGATCAGTTCTCTCGTCTCGGCTGTAGTGTCTGAGAGTTTCTAAGGCGCTCGTTCTTTGGAAGTGTCCCACTCCTGTCTTATTCATATATCAATATCGTACCTCGTGAGGTTGTGTGTACTCTTCTTTTCACAGGTTCTGCTGGGAACTGGCTGGGTTGCGGCTATTATTATGTAAACCACGATTTGAGCACGCTCCTGCTTTCAACCATTGTTCTTCTCTACTCTTGTTGGTTGTTGCCGCTGCGTTCCAACTGCTCTGCTAATTTCGTCTGTTGTTAAGGTGCCCGAATTGCGAGTCAAGATGCGGAATCACAATCTGACGTCTAAACCATTTGATATTTTTTTAAGTTGCTGTCAGCTTGCTGTGAATCTGCTGAAATTTTTATCTGGAAAGCACCAAAGCTCGGGGGCAAGTGATGACAACATTATGGTCTCGTTCGTCTGAATATCTTTGACGACAAGTCTATATATCACCACCCATCGGCTGATGTCCTTCGACTTTGGTGCGCTTTGGAACGAGTCGGTATTGTTCGTAGGATGTGTTGCATATCCTTCAGGTCAAAGTCCACCGCGTCCTTTCCATTGCAAGCTTCTGGAAGTTCCTGTTTCACATGAATCTCAACTATTAGGGTCAGTTTTCAGGTTTTGATGCAAAACTCTCTTTGGCACGTAACTTGGATCAATTTGCGTTGCTTTGTTTCTTCGTTCCCAAATCTCTTATGAAAGCTATACAAGTTTTCCGTTATCTTTTCCTAAGTCATTGAGTTGGGACTGTGCTTGAGTCTTTTATGGAAGTCGTACAGGCCTGTCGTTCTCCCCAGTCGATTATCGAGCCATTGAGTTGAATTGTTTCAAATTCTCTCCCAAGCGCTGCTCTCTTTTCGGTTCCCACTGGCACGTCATGCCTCTGTAACCCGTAACACGGCGCGAGACCTTGCATCGCCTTTGAGAATGTCACCGGGGCTCTGTCCCGGCTGACATAGCGGGCGCATGCGACATCAGCATGACCTCAACATGTGCTTCGTTCTCTTGGATCAGTCCTAATCATTCTCGTTCCTTTGTTACAATGAGAAGAAGCGGTACCTTGCTTGGTTCCTTGGTTGAAGTTTCTCGCTTCAACAAAGGCTTCCACCAATCGGATTCGCCTTGTTTTTCCATTTTGACTCACGCAGCGAGCATCATGCTGTTCTGCTTCGCCGCTTGGCCAGTTTTCGTACCTGCCCTAATGGCAAGGACGACAAGCGTCGTGATGTGAGGCTTGTTGCTTCATACCCGTCTTCCCTAAGTCAGAGGGTGTCTTCCCCAAGTCAGACTGCCAGATTATTTACTTTTAAAAGGCAGAGAAGCTAGTATTTTATTGCCCGCTTCCGTTCCTTTCAAAGAATTGATGAGGACCTAAGCACAGAACGAAAACTGACGTTAGTACTAACCACGTCATCTGAGGCTCATTTGTCCTCTTATCTTCCCCAGGTCTGATATCAAGGAGGCAGCGCTGTGCGTGACGGAGCCTCAAAACGCCTTCTTATCAATCGACTGTTGTTACGACTGCCACTAAATTAGATCGAACTGCTGAGGTCAGCACTAATCACTTCATCTCTCACGTGCATCTTCTTTTATAAGCCACCTAAGGCTAATATTCAGGAGGTGGCGCTGTGCGTGAGCTCAAGACGCCGTCGTACCAATCTACTAACGTCCAGACTGCAATTTCCACATGGAGTGAATGTTGACGTCAGCAGTGACCACAGCTTCTGAAATATGTGTCATCCCCCACGTTTCCAGGGCTGATATCAAGGAGGCGGCGCTGTGCGTGACGGAGCTGAAGACGCCGTCTTACCACTCAACCATCGTCCAGACCGCGGTCAACCTTGGGTTCGAAGGCAAGGACCGCGACAGGGAGCTCGTCGGAAAGTTGCTGCCGGGACTGGTTGCGCAAAAGGCTATCACTGCCGAAGAACTAGAGGCGGGGTGAGTTTAAGATTTTCTCTTTGATTTCTTGTTTGTTTTCTTTCTTCGCTTCTAGCTACTTTACAGAGGCGAATAGTGAGGCAATCCCTGCGGGAAGCTGCTGCCCGAAGTGTTTTGCGCAAAAAGGCTATCACTGCCACGAAACTAGGCGGGGTGAGTTGTCTAGTTAATCTCAGCAATTTTGTTGACACGCGATTAGCACTTAAAGCTTCCTTGAGGATGGCGATGCCCCAGTCATTTGGACGTTTCTAGATCTAGATTGTCATCTGGTTCAGTGCTTTTCAGCGCTGAGTCACGGCCTTTGTCGAGCAGCTTGACAAACTTGTTGATGCCCCCAAAAATTTGGCCGACTTCGTGGGCAAGTTCATCCAACTTTTTAAGGCTTTTTGAATGGAACCCGTGAAATAAGTCGTCGTCAGATGCGGCATTGATTGCTGTTTCTACATCTTCCACTTTCACGGCCTTGGCCGAGAAGCTAGACGACCTGTCGATCGACGTCCCAAAGCTCCACGCTCCCTGCGTAACTTCGGGACAACTGACCGCAACTTTTTGAGGTGTAAAAACATCTCATTGGGGCACTTAGTTAAGTCTCATTTCAAGCTCCACTTAAACCGCTGTATTTTCCTCTTACACAGCTTCATGGCTCTCACGAAGCAGCTAGACTACCTAGCTATCGACCTTACGAGGGCTCCCCGCTACTTGAGTGGATTCGGGGCAAATCAACCCAACTCCTTGAGGTGTAAAACTTCTGCTCAGGCACTTCAACGGTCATTTTAACTGCCATCTAAACCGCTGTTTCGTCCTCTTCCAGCTTCATGGCTCTCGCCGAGCAGTTAGACGATCTAGCTATCGACCTCCCGAAGGCTCCCCGCTACCTGGGTGACTTTGTCGGCAAGGCAATTGCGGCGGGTGCGATGAACCTTTCTTCCATAAAGACGGCGAGCGAAAAGGCGGAGGATGTGCGCGCGCGGCGGCACTTTGCGGCGGCCGCCCTCCAAGCGTTCAAGAAGGACAAGGTAAGGAGCTTCGTTGTTTTTTCTCGCGCTTACATTGGCTCATCTCGCTTATCTTGGCTCATCTGCACTTTCTCTGATCTGAGAGCCCACGATCTGGAATCCCATAGAGGAAAGGTGGAAGACTTGCATGTGTGCGCTGCCGGCACTTTCCGGCGACCGCCCTTCAAGCATTGAAGAAAGACAAGGTAGGGGACTCGTTAGTTTCCGGGGACTCGTTAGTTTCCTTATCTTGCCTAAAGCCTTTGAGCGGATTCAACATGTCCCTTCATTGGGGAGCTCATGGTTCTGAGGATAGAGAATGAAGAGGTGGAAGGATTGCGCACGCGGCCGCACTTTGCGGCAGCACTCTTTTATTGCGGGGGCCACCTTGCAAGCACTTCAAGAATAGGACAAGGCGGGGGGACGTCTATTCTTCGGTTTGCCCCATCTCCCTTTTCTTATGTGCCCTTCGAGTATATCTACGTGACTGTTCAAGCTCAGACAGACCCGTGGCGGTCATGGGGGCCAGCAATAAAAACGGCTTCTTTCCTGCCTTGCTCGTTTTGGCGGTACGTTTGAGTTACTTCCTGTTCCTTACCCTGAGCTTCTGGTTCACAATTGTAACATTCTTGATATTAGGCTCGGATCTTTCGATGCAATTCGCTTTCTTGATGTACTGTGTTTCATGTGACAGGGCGAGGGCGCGCTTTTCAAGGCCGGCAAGGAACTAGACCTGAAGAGCTTTTTGACGGACGACATGGAGGGGCCCCTGGACGAGTTCCTCAAACAGGAGGTGAGCAGCCCAGCTCCAAACCAGGTTTCAAATAACCATCTCAAGGCCAAGCAGCATCTGACATGTCTCTTTAGCGAACAGGATTCTGCGCTGTGGCTCGTAGAGTTACGAAAGCTTATTGTCTGCATGGTACTACGAAGATGGAGCATCTTTTTCTGCTGCACTTTGAGGGGTTTTCGCATGCTCCAAAATTGCGCCGGCAGGATTGGCTGATACAACGATTGCATTCTCATCTTGATTGTTCAAGGAGCACAGGGACTGGCTTCGATACTTGCTAACTTCAATTGTTCCTCTTGTTGCAGAATCTGTCTATCTTGGCGTAGATTGGCCCCCACGCCTTGTTGACAAGCTTCATTAGTCCATCAAGTTCAACGTACACCTTTCGTTGAAGTATACTTAGCAGGACGTAAGCTTGCAAGGAAGACAGAAACTGCTCATTGTTTTTGATATGCATGTGAGCAGCGACCGTACAACACCATGCCCCTATGTGCCAAACGGAGATCCTTCGCAATCGCAAAGGCAACTCAGACTAAAAAAATTTGGACTCCTATTCTCCGCCTTTTTGATGCTCGGTCCATATTCCATGCATGATATGTACAGTGGCAGCGGTTCGGCGGTATGCTAGTATAAGGGTCAACGATGTTTGCTGGTGTCCGGCTACATTTAGTCAACGGTTGTATGACAGTGACCGTCATAAATATATGCAGGCAAGAGCGATCGACGATTATTTTCATAGTCACCAGACATACCTACGCAGGCTGTTGCGAGCTGGCGGCGCGTGCAAGACAATTAGGGCATCCGGTTGGCATGAACCAGCTAGGCTCATGCCTGGTGGTCATAGATCGTATGCTGACGTCGGACCACGTGCGGCTGCACATCAATGAGCTAGATCGGTATCACTACATGCACAAATTATGCATCATATCCATGCGCGGCATATATCCAGGAGCCCTCCACCCTCCGTTGTACAGGCTGACGCCCTGGCATACGTAAGTCGTTGTGTTGATCTTAAAAGCAGCGCCAAACAAACATATGCAACGTACGGTACTCAGTGCACACATGCATGTGCGTCCTAAAGCTTCAAAACGCATGTCATATATTTGCATTTTGCGCGGCGCCTGGCGCGCGGCGGCGTATGTGGATCCTCAATCCACATATACACGGGCCAATGTGTGGTTTCTGGTCTGCATGATCGAGACTACATCTGGTCGGAAGATCCATCGACGCTCTGCGCAATATGACCTGCAGCATTGGAGCAGCGCGGCAGTGCGCCTCACCTAAACTAATATTGAATTAGAATTACAGCTCAAACTTGAACCCTTCACGTACATGCGGCGGGTACATGTACAGGCTCTGGCATGCTCCAAAGAAACGCAGGCAATCAGAAATCGAAAGCACATGTGCGGAGAACAGGAAAGCCGCTGGTCTGAAATTCGACTCCCATATGCGAAAACCGCTGATGTTCTGAGCTGTTCTGTGGACGGGCCCGCCTCCAGTTCATCGGCTGCTCTCCTGAGAGCGATCTGTCGAGATGCCCGGATTATGACCCGGCTCCGCTTCAGTTCAGGTGTCAATCAGGCGCTCTGTAACGGCACTAAGCACCAATATCGGCCCCGCACTCCTCAGAAGCGACTGTCAAAGAACTACCGACACTCTGGCTGACGTCACGCTTCACTCGGCTGACGTCAAGCTTTCCTCCGAGTTTTGACGTCAGCGGAACGGCCGCCCGGGGCTAGTCTAACTCCACTCGAGGGGAGATTCTTTCTAGCTTCACCCAGTCTGCGATTTGCTCTTGCAGTGTGGGATTCGGCATCCTGGCAGTGATAAGAATAGGCGCGAAGGAAATCGGGCACGTCTTGTGTCCCCTAGCAAACCACCAGTCGATGTACTCTTTCTCAAAGCTGTCACCGGTTTCCAGCAGCAGAACCGGGTCTCGCATCAGCTCCTCAGAGAGGGGGCAGACGAACTCAGAGGGGGGGTCCCGGGACAGGCTTTCCGACCCCCCCGGGGGACCGTTGGTTGTCATTTCTAGAGCGAGTTTGATCTCGTTAAGGAAACCGGTTATCTCTCCCTTAACCTCCCGGGTGTCTTTTCGAAGCACCGGGGGACCCGTGGGCAGCTCACAAAACACACTTCCAGGCTTTGGGGCTCCTCGGGGGGGTAATTCCCTCGCAGAAACGTCCCCCTCAACCGTATTCGCCGCTTTTAGCGCTTTGTAAACCGTCTCCATGACGCTCGCCTCCTCCCTCTGCTTGTCCTTCAAAACCACCTCTGGTTTTGCCCGATTACGTTTCCCGGGGGGTGTTTTGGCACTCCGGAGGAATCCCCTGGGCCACTCCCTGAACCCCAAGGCTGTCTGCGCTCCGTCTCCTCCTGGAGCAAACTCCGGCCTCTGGGGGGCAGAAGACACTGCATGATTTTCCCCCCACTCCAGTTTCTGCGTCGCTCTCAAAGCGGATGCGATATCGTCTTCAAGACTGGTCGCCTCTTCCGCTTCCGCCCGGTTATCTTGAAGAGCGCTCGGCAGGTTGAGCGGAATTCGTCCGGTTGTCCGTGTCCGTATTCTACCGGGACGGTGAGCTCCCTTCATCTCTTCAGTGGCTCGAGGAAAGTGCCTTCTACGACTCTCTTGCTTGGTGATGCGTCGAGGATGCTCCAATTTCTCTTCGTGGTGAAAGTAGAACAAAGCGGGAGTCGTTTCTGGGAGGAGAACTGTAGCGGTCCCGTCTTACCTCTGCGCCAAACATAATCACAATACGTTAGTCGAATAATCCTAGCAGGTCGAATAGCGCATGATCCAAACCTGGAAACACTAAACGGACGCGTTAGACGTTTACACATGTCTGGTTACGCTTTGTTTGCGGGCTGCAGCAAAGAGTGTGGAAGTTCTCTGTCAAGATCTGCCTATAGCTTGAAAAATGCGATGAGAAGTCGGTTTGAAGAGGTGAAACCATGCCAGAGGCGAAATTTCGCAAAGATGACGTTCATTTCCGCGTCATCCCGCTCCGTTCCTAATATCCTGTCCGATGCTTAGCTCGAAATGGAAGAGAGTTGAGCGTACATTTTGAGCCCCGACCGTTAAATAGCTTGATTGCACGGTTATCGCTTTTCGAAAATCATGACAGCTGGTCACGTTCAAGCAATCTTCTCCAATCACTGTTTGATACTGTTTGCTGCAGGACGCTCACACTAAAGGTCCAATTCAGAGGCTAACTTATGAGATAGGGTTTGTCTAATTTACCCACTTGGCTTAGCGGCGACATAAGGGGGGGTTCAGGCTTCTGTGTCGCCTCCACAATGTTCACATGTGACGTAATGAGGCGACCCGCAGTTTGGCGCGAGGGCTCTCCACTTGCCAAAGATTCGAAACTGACACGATGCCGTCTTCAGAGCCGGTTTGCAGTAGCTTCCGTTTTACCTTGTATTTCGCTCTCAGAGAGTGAGGAACTATGGAAGGTCTGTAGATGGGGCTTGATTGGGAGCCAAAATTCAAATGTAAGCTCTGTAGAGAGAACAATTATGGAAAAACAGGGAGTTTCATCCAGCTTTGCGAGGAAGAGTCAAAAGCGCCCTTCAGTTGTTTCGCCTTTCGTTTTAGATCTGTCTTTCGCAAACAAAAGAAAGCGAAGCGGCAGTGACTCTGTAGAGAGAAGCGCAGCTTTGCATGCGGACATTAATTCTTCTGTGAGACGAGGAGGATTGTAAGCTTTACTCCTATTACAATCGACGAGCAGCAGGACTGACATAAGAATGACCAGCGCCTTGACGACAGATTCTGATGAAGCGCCCCTACTTGCTGTTGACGTGACTAAACGTGTATTCACAGATGCGCATTTGGTGTAAGCGATGAAATCTGACTTTAAGCGATTAAACCCGGGAATCGTTTCCCGACCAGGCTGGAAAGCCCTGTTACTTCGGGCGGGGCAGCCCCCACATCCCTCCCGGCGAAATACGATTCTCAAGGAAATCGGATTTTTCCTGTAAGTCGATCAATAACATGATTTGATGTGACCAATCTCGCAGCGCGCCCCGAGAATCGCCCACGTATTCAAGATTCCAGAACTTTTTTATCCGCCAACCGACGGATTCGCTTTGTTCTGGACTTGCAACGTACCCTAATCTATCGACTCTTCTCAGATCGATTCTCTTGATCCAGTTCCCCAGATTTTGCATCATACGAAGCCGTTATTGCGGCCGGCTATGATGCCCCTCTTGATTTATATGTTCTGGCAAAGTTTCTGACCGTCCTTTCAATATGGATAACCTCAGCAATCTGCTGGATACGTGGTAGATGTGACATGTGCGGTCACGATGAAGTCTCTATGACAAGTTTACTTCTCGTCACATCAAGCCTGTCGCACTCCGGTCAGTGCTTCCCCAGGTCTTATCTCTTCATCCGTCTCTTTAACAAGTTCTTAACCTGCAAGCCGTCACTTCGCTTTCTTTCTGAGCCTACGCAGCTCTTGATGAACATATCTCATTACGCCTAGTAAGATAGGAACTGAGCAGCCGAAGATGAGATGGAAAGAAAAGAGCCCTGCTTAAAGAATGTTCAACAGCCTCCAAAAATCTCAAAGGTAGCCTGAGACGCAAGCTGAAAGTACTCGTCTAAGGATTTTAGGACCCGTGAAATAATCTGAAGTGTCTTTCGAAGCGGAAGATTTTCTTCACGCCTACATTACATGAGACCAGGAACGCACAAGATGATCTCCTTAGAGCGAACTGCGTCGGTGGTGAGTAGAGGGCAGAATTACGTCTTCTTTTCTTCTTTTATATTCGGAATCTGCCCTATTAGCGAACTTTGAGCAAATATGGGTCTTGCAATGGAGTTCTTGGTTGCCATGGTATTAAACCAATATCAGAGTATTTCAGTCATCTCAACTGAAAGCTCAACTGTATATCTTGCCTCTTTGTTTCTCGAACAAATTTGACTGAATTCCATGTAAAAGCTGTGAAAATATACCACATCCTGTTGTTCCAAAGTGGGAAATGTTTGTTAACCAGCAGCATAACTATGAGGTGTGAAATGCTATTGGTGCTCCTGTTGTAGAGCCTTCATCGATACTCATCGCTTCTGCTTGAGGTTTAGGCGATTGGAGAAGGCAAGGGGCAGTCTGGAAAATCTTCATCATGGGCAATTGGCTCGAAGAATCTTATGATTGGCCGGGTAGGGTAACGAAACTATTCCACTCCTTAGCATTAAAAACTGTCACTTATGTAATACTTGGGTGGCTCTCTCTGTTGTCTTCCTTACTCCAACTCGTTTTCATTTTGAGGAAATAGTTGGGTCATCTGTAGGGAAACCAGCAAGCAAACACAATCTTCGAACTAAACCTTCGATTCAATTGTTGGAAAAGCTGAGCCGTCAATTACTTCTAGAAATGCTACTGCGTCAAAGAACAAGACGGAAGGATTGTCTGGAAGGTTCGCTCTTTGAAAGAGGCGGTGCGAAGGACCCAACCAGATTCGTTTCCTTTCTACGGCCGTTGAGGTTGCTCAATTCATAGATTGATAAAGCTCACTTCGGAAATAAACTTCACCGTTCACGGCATACTCGCGGATGCCTTTCGTTTTCAGGACCTCCTTGCTGAAAAGAACTCACAAGCTCAGACCCTCTGTACAGGATGTCACAGCAGTAGGGAAAAGACGATTCCCGACGAAGACAATTGTTGTCAATCTGCTGACCAACCTTTCTTTGACCTGTACGTATGCAGATGGACCGTGCGCCCTTTGAACTGGCCGTCGACTGGATGAGGTCAATGTCGTCCCCTTCTCCAACCAGGCTCGAGACCCTCCTCGAAATGGGGGGCACAAGACAGGCGTCTTGGGACCCCCCGGAGGAAGAAAACAGCGACACGTGGCCCTTTGCCGGGGAACGGAAAAGCAGACGGGTTTCGCTCAACGTGCCAAAAGCAACGAGGTGGAATCGAGTAAACCCAGACGAGGCAACAAGTCTAGAGGCCGATATTGAAGAAGCGCTGAAAGCTAAGCAGGATCGTGCGCTTGAGCGGGGGTGGACCAACGGGCATTCTGGGCCCCCGCAGGGGGTGATTGCGCTAGGGACAAAAGGCGCCGCGACGATCTGGGGGGTCACTGGGTGGCCCGGGGGGGTGCTGCGCCCGGTAAACTTACCCCCCGGAGCGCTCCACCGGGCGCGAACTGCGGCGCTTCTGAGAGATAAGCAGCGGACGGAGGCGAGTGTCATGGAGAAAGTTTACCGGGCTTTAAAAGCGGCGGCTGATCGTAACGGCGGGGAGGATTCTGCCCGGGAAAATCCGCCGGCCCTCCGCCGGAACTCCGCCGGAACTCAGTTCTGCGAGCTGCCCACGGGCCCCCCGGTGCTTCGGAAGACTACCCGGGGGATAAAGGACGAGGTAACCCGGTTTGTCGACGAGATTAACCACGCGCTCGCGAACGCGACGAGCGCTCCGGTGAACGTTTCTACGGACGTTCCGCCGGAATTCATCTGTCCGCTTTCCGGTGAGCTGATGCGCGACCCGGTTCTCCTTCTCGCGACCGGGCACAGCTTCGAAAGGGAGTACATTGACTGGTGGTTTTCTCGGGGAAGAGACACGTGTCCGGTGACGTGGGAAACTGTTCAAACCACTGCTAGGATCCCAAACCTCGCGCTGAGGGGGCGGATCGCAGACTGGGTGAGACTAGAGATAGTATCCCCCCGGACCGAACTAGACCAGCCCCGAGCGGAGGTTCCGCTTTCTTCTTACCCCGAGCGAAGAGATTGCGTCACTAAATGGCCCGTAAACGAGAGATTGGAGGGAAGGTTTGCTGGTGTTGCGTCAAGGGAGCGAGTGGATGACATCGGCAAAAGGCTTGTGATCGCCGGTGCTAGTTCAGGTGGGCGAACGGATGACGTCAGCGGCGCGGTGAGTGCGGATGGGTCTGTTCTAAAGCGCTGGGCTGACGAGGAAAGAAGGGAAAGCAGTTGGAAGCAGTCGGTTGGAGCACTCGGTGAGTCGGACGTGTCGAGCGGAGAAGAGGGGAATCGGTGGAGAGAATCTCAGAATGGATCGGTGGAAACCGTCGGAAGAAGTCGCGGGGGGTTGTTTGACTTGCCAGAGGAAAGATCCACAAACGGCGTCAGAAATGGCTGGACGGAAGACAAAGAACTAGAGGCTTCTGGATCAGACCGGGAAAGAAGAGTGCGGAGCGCTGATGATTTGTGGGAGGCGGTTCTCGAGAAGAAGCGAGTGTTGAAGCAGATGAAGCAGAGCGGTTCGACGGGCGCGAAGGAGCATGCGAGGAGGCAGAGAAGAGGCTTGTCTATGAACGGTGTGAGCTCGCCTAACGAGGTATGGAGATAGGCGCTTCTTGGGGCGCATAGTTAAGAAACGGGCCTCAACTAGAAGATTTAGCAGCGACATTGATTTGGCGACGAACACCAGCGATCGTTGTATCAATGTTCACGATGTAAGTCCTTCATCCGCCACTCGCAAGTTGACAGTTGCCGGCTAGAACGGGACAGGGGACAAGCGGAGTCACGTATGGTGCTTTTGAAGCTTGGGTTGTCGTAATCTCATACCGCTGAGCTAAACCGCTTGAGCTTAAGTGACTCCGAAAGCCTGATGGAAAACGGAAACTTCGAAAATGGATGCATGTATCTTTCAACCAGCTTGGGTTTAACTGCATGCGTGGCAGTAACACGTTTGACAGGTTCAGTACTTCCTCTGTGGCGGAGAGATTTCCGTTCGCTTCCGTCAGTAGTCTACTTATCTCGGCTGCATGTGCTATTTCTCAAGTACGTATTCTTCACGGCATCTTACGCATGTAAACCAATGGAAGCGCGAGGGCTTGGAACGGCAATCTTTGATTCATGGGCAAATCGGCATGCAATTCGACCCACAAGATTTGTCATTGACAATTTGATCAGCTTCCTAGTCCGTTTCTGACTGCCTTCAGTTATTTCTGGAGGAACGACGACCGCTAGCATCCGTGTAGTCTCGCGCGCGGGGCATCCAATCATTTGATTGTTGCAGGCATATTGCCAGACAAGAATATATCGACAGCATTGTGTGGATGCACTTCGTGATGCCATCCAATATCAGACTTCATCACTCTTTCGAGACCGACAATGTGCACATTCATGGGATCGAACACGTGACACTTCATGGAATCGAACACTCACAAATCCACCTCAATCGAACACCCAGAAAGTGCCTGCGCCAGATATCCCTACGAAGGTTTTTGCTCCTGTCAGAAATGCTTCTCTTCCTGCCTATCCATGCAACATCGAACCACTCTCTGACATCAGCAGACTAGAAGCTCTCAGCACTACGACTCTGCCAAACAACCTATATACACGGAAGTTTTATCCAACTAGACGACCTCCCAAGAGCAAGACAGACCCCTACTTCTAGCTCTCCAGCTGCGTAGTTCTCGCTCCCCACCATTGCTGCTCTAAGCACCTTCAACCGTTGACGAGATTTTGCCCCGCTCGCCTCCTTCTACGCTTCGTTCCTCGATATCTCCCTAACTCCTCACTGAATCCGCGTCGCTTTGGTTCTCTCGTCCAACTGTCGCCGTCTCTCACACACCCTGCCCACCACTGCTGCTCTAAGCACCCTGTACCGTTGACTAACACCTAACAACTCCTCACTTTCTTTGCGGTTCGTTTCTAATTGTACCGCCTCACTGATTCTGCGTCGTTTTGTTTCTCTCCTTCGATTCTCGCTTTGGCATCCTGACGTCCACCCCCCGAAGGAACCGACATCGCCCAAAACATCAAAACAAGACAGACGGCGCCCGGCGTTGCTATCACCACAAAGGCGACAAAAGTATAACCGGGGGGACAGTCTCGGGGAGCGCCCGTCGGTCCTCCGACCGGCAAACGCCCCCCGTAGGGATCCCCGAGCTGAGCGCAGCTGTCCGGAACGCCGACGTAGAACTGCAGGTTGTCCGTTACGCACCGCTTCAGGGTTACATTGGCTAACCCGGTTAGGTCGGGGAGGGGAACCGGGCCGACCCGGTGGAGCGTGACGTCATCGATGAAGCACCGGACGGTCCCACGGATTGTGAAGGGGGCGAGAACTAGGAGCGCGAGGAAAACCAGGACGCTGAGGAGCTGAATGAGGAGACGGGAGGTGCTGCGCTTTTTGGGTTGCGTGGATTCTGAAGACCCGTGAGCAGTAACTTGTGGTTGCCACTTGGATTCTGACAGAGTTTCCGGTGTGATTGTGTTGGTGACCTCTTCTGAGGACTCACTCGGGGGTTCTGGAGAGCCAGTTTCCAGGTCTCCCAGACTGAACGAGAAGGGATTAAACTCCTTACACTGAGGCCTTGAAGAGCTCTTCTCAGCCACGATGTCTGAGTCTTTCCAGCCGATCTCTAACTTCATCGTTTCAAAGAGGGCGCTGGGATCTGGTTTGCCTCCCTCTATCTCCGTCTGCCCTGCAGACCCATTTGACACCCAGACAGAGCCACCTTTCTCCACACTTTCGTTAAGTAGTACCGCTGGAGGATTCCTTTCTTGCTCATTTCCGGCCTTTTCCCCTGGTGACTTGAAAGGTCGGAAGCAATCCCTAATGCTAAACCCCGTGCACATTACGCACAGGGCTATAGAAAGAGCCAAAACCCCGACAATGAAGGGAGAAAACAGAATCAGCCCCCACAGTATCATTCCCCCGACAACCATGCCAATGTAAACCGCTACAGACAACGCTCTCCGCGCAACTTTCGCCCGCTTTGGGAGAAACTCCGTCACAATGGGGGGGGGATATTGGCAGGCATAACTGGGCGTTTCCACCTGGTAGAATTCATACACGGGACCGCTTGCAATGGACTGGCACTTGATCACTTGAAGCGCCCGGGGGGGTTCCCCGAGCAAGGGGTTCGTCCAGTTGGAATATTTGGTGCGCAGAACGTTGTTAAGCGGGGCTGGCTCGGGGAGCGACAAACCAGGAGTAAGCGCTCCGCCGGTGCATGTGCAGAGGGTGGAGAGGAGCCATAAGGACGCTGCAAGCACCGCACAAACTCTCGCCATGTTTTCTGCTGAAAGCTTTTGACAAAGCTGAAAGCTCCTGACACTGGAGTACCGCGTCTTTTTTCTCTGCAATTTTGCGTGGTGGGCGGCGGCGCGCGGCGGCCGCACTGTCAACCCCAGTGTAAACCCTGAGAGGCTGAGTCCCAATTGCCATGATTATAGCCCTGACATTGTCGTAGATTGTCCAACTATTGTCCAACGCGGTCCGTCCGATTCAGGGGCCCAACATATCGGACGATCCAGGATGAGTTGGTCATGAAAATGATGAGCAACAGCACTTATGATGCACCTGATTTTATGTCAACACCGCAAAACCAGGGGACCAATCAATGATTGCGCAGCTTAGGTCTTATCCAGCTAGGTGTCGCGGTAGTACCAGTCTGGGTAGCGGCGCTTCGTAGGTACACCGTACCCGGTAGGTACAGCCTGCTGCCTTGGTACTCGACTACCCACTGGTATGGTATGGTCACCGTATGGAGTTTCAGGAGTCGCCTCTTCAGCCTTCACTGTCAGGCATCAGACTTCAGAACGGCTCAGCTAGAGTGACAAAGCAATCAAGAAAACAGATGATTCAAACATGCTGCAGCCTGGAGCAAGCTTGGACCACGCCCTGTCCATCAGCTTTCTGCCTGTTGGAGAAACGAGAAGCGCGGCAGCCGGAGCTGCAAACCGCTCCCCAACTTTTCAACGTTCATGGCATCTGTACATTGATGAGGGAACACAGGGACTGCAGTGACTCTTGCGTGACTTGAGACTCAGAGCTGGGTACGTCAGATGAGTACCTGGGGTCCTGGGGGTTAACTTGGTGGTTAGAGTTGGTTGTTTTGCGGAGTGGGTGAGTTCTGGGTCATATTTTGCAGCGCAGATTGATCAATCAAGTTAGGTCATCCAGGACGTAATCAACCAGGAAAACACCAACATACGTCATGGCGCCGCCACCAGCTGTGCACCGGCGCTCCTGCTGCGCCACCGTTCATCCCAGGGCTCAGAAAGGCGCCGCGCACTGGACCGCCGTTAACGTTCTTTTCCTTCTCCTCATGGCGAGCCCCAAGTTTCCTCTACTTCCCCCTGCATCTGCCCAATGCCCAGCCTCCACTCTCCAACAATGCTCCACCCTGACCAGACACCCAGCAAACCCCAACTTTCCTAGGGAGTGCTGCTACCAAGGCGACTTTGGCTTCATCTCCGGCTACAGCTGCTGTCCCATTGGCCGGCCCAAATGCTGCCCCCCCGCCGGAGACGAGCAATTCGGGGAGTGCTGCAAAGTTGAGGAAAGCTGCTGTTTTGCCCCCGCGGGGACATACTTTGGCGTCGCCACGTCTGCGGGAAACACGTGCTGCGACGGGGCGTGCTGCACTGGGGGGGACCAGTGCATATTGGGCTGTTGCTCGGCGGCCGCGGGGGGAGTGCTTGTTCCGGGAACAGGAATATGCTGCCGGGAGGGGGCTACGGTGTGTAACGGTCAGTGCTGCCCAAAAGGGAGCCAATGCAGCAACGGGGTTTGTGTCTGCGACACGACCCAAAACACGCTGATTGACTACGGGCAGATCTTCCAGTGCTGTCCGGGGCTCAACGCAAAGGCCTGCACGACGACGAAGACCTGCTGCTCGGCCGTGGGGCGCTGCGACGTCTACGGGAAGTGCTGCGAACCGGGCGTCGACACGTTCTTCCCGAATATCAACCAGTGCTGTCCGGGCGTGAACTCCGAGTACTGTTTCAAGCGCCACGCGAACGGGGCGGTCTTTCCGGACTGTTGCCGGCACTGTGTGAAAGGGCTCGCGGGGAGCGCATACCCGGGACCGGACGAGTTCTTCTGCTGTGACGAGACCCAAAACACATTCCTCGACAATACCTGCTGCCCAAACGACCGCGTCTGCGGTGCAAAGTGCTGCGGCGCCCCCGGCATTTGCCAGGCTTACGGCAACAGCATCGGGCCCGCGTCTTTCGTCTGCTGCGACACGACCAAAAACACGCTCATTCCCGTGAGCGGTCTGTGCTGTCCGGGTTTGAACACCGTCTCCTGCAACGGCACGTGCTGCGCTCCGGGGGATGGGTGTAAATACGTCCCGTTCGCCTTCCAGAGCGGCGTCCCGGAATACCAGTGCTGCGACACGAGTGTGAATACGCTCGTGGACCGTGTCGGTTGCTGCCCGGGGCTGGGCGCAATCGACTGCGGCGGCCGTTGCTGCGCCGGCACGTGCAGTGTGAATACACTCGCGAACGGGCAGCAGAGTTTTGAGTGCTGCCCGCGCGACAACTCGGAGCTCGTAACGTTCCCCGACAGCCGCTCGGTTTGTTGCCCCGGGGTCGGGGTCGACTCGTGCCTTGGCCAATGCTGCGCGGCCGGGGAGTCGTGCACTCCCTCCGGTTGCTGCGCGCCAGGCGCCGACCCGTGCGGCGGCAGATGCTGCGCGGTCGGGGAGACGTGCACCAATTCGGTGTGCTGCGACTTGTCCGTCAACTCGTACGCCGGTAACGGGGAAGGCGGTCAGTGCTGCCCTGGACTGCAGCAAAGTCTGTGCTCGGTGAACGGCCCGTGTTGTCCAGGGCTCGAGGGGATCTGCTACGTACCGGCGGACGAAGCGTTGCCCGGCCCCCTGTGCTGCGACCCTGCGAAGGCGACCTTCAGCGGCGACTTCGATTCCGGCGTTGGGTACTATGTTGGGAACTGCTCAAGTGAGTTGTGTGAACAGTTTCCGCTTCTTGGAATTTAAGCTGCCTTAAATTGTGTCGATCGTTTTGGGTTGAGGGTTGTTCGGAACGTGTACGAATGTTCTTTCCGGGACCTAGCAAGTGCAGGTTTTCTCTCTTCTGGGCTAGCTTAAGTCATCGCCTCAGGGATCTCGCTTTTACTGAAGTTCGCCGGTCAGGAGCTGCACTCCTGGTACTTCTTTCAAGCAGATCCCCAAACGAAAACTGGGCAGATAAAAGCGTCGATTTAGACAACCATTCACTTCTAGGCTCAGACCGTTTGCGTAAGAGGTACCTGATTTCACCTGCCCGGTTTGCAACCCAGTCATTTTATTCCTGGTAAGTCCTACCGCCTCAACTTCTGTTGGAAGTTATCAGCAGATTGGACGCTTCATCACGCTAGTCGAGCATGACTAGCTTGTGGCACGAATATTGCCAACATCCCTTTTACAATATTGCTGACTTGAAGACGAACATGCGAGGCCCCTTTAACAAAAAAACGCTTTAACAAAGAAACGCTTTTTCACTTCGCTTGCCCAGAAGCGTTGCTCCATGCGAGACCTCCTTTAACAAAGTTTTAATCAGACAAGCAGGATTATGCCAGGTTGGCATGAGTGCCTGCGAGCCGACGAACGAGACCAGTCCTTCTTCTATTGAATCGCATCCAATCGAAACGTCACTTTTCCGGACCTTCCCAATCACGCGCTTCTGATCGAAACAGCTCCGCCGTCAATATAAGCTCGGGTTGTGTTTAGATTGTGATGCTCCTCCCAGTAAGGATACCCAAAGTTCCAATCCAACTTCCTGCAGCCCTTCCGTGCATTCAGAGTCGATGCAACGGAGAGCCTTCGGAACCCCAGGCCCTGAAGGTTCTGCCTTTGCTTATCGGCAGGTGGCACGGCATCGGTGGGAGAGGGTGACCCCCATTTCGTTCTGAAGGGCGTCACGGGCGCGACAGAATTCACATTCGACTTCCATGGAGCGAGTGGTCAGACCTACTGTATGGTCACAGACACAAGACTCGCGGTAAGGCCCCTTCGAGCTGATCGAGGTTGGCTGCCTATTCTGACTTTGGCTCCCTTCTCTCATTTATGTTCCCCGTTATTCGGACCCACAATGGCTTCCCAAGTCAGGTACGTCTCACACTCCCGCTTTCTCTCGACAGCCCATATTTGAAAGAACCGTCCAAGGCTGGATGAAGTTACTTTGGGCCGGTTTAGTATGAGTTTTGGTGCGAATGCATCTGGTATTTAAGGTACTTGGAGTTTTCTTGTCATACTAGTAAGAGCTCAGCTCCTGTGGAAGCTGCAGCTACCATGATCCACTGATGCAACTCGATCGGTGCCCACTGTGCGATCAGGAACGGTTTGGTCGAAACCCGCCTTTTTGTCAAGGGTCTTCATTCTGAGAAGTAGAAGGGCCGGGTAGAAGTGTTTTGAAGCCTTGAAATGGTTTGTTGGCCTGCTGATCCAACAGCGGAAGCACGAGCGACACAGGCTTCATTGGAATCCGGTACCTTGGTTCTTCCCGATCTCGTTTTTCCCCGACCTGCTGATGACGGACGTCCGCTGATGAACAACAATAACAGCTACTTAAGGAGCAACGCCTCTCAAGAAGCTAGCTTTTGTTGCTGTCTGGAACCAACCTTTTCATGATGAAACTTTGATCTCAGGCGCTGGGAATAGGCGCCTATACCTGGCCACGAATCAGAGTGTTACTTGCTATGGCGCACTCTCCTCAATTTGACCGTCGAACATTTGGCCACTGTTCGCCATTCCAGCGCAAGACTTCGAAAGCTTCGACGACGGTACATGGATGGATGGGATTCCCTTGCTGTAAATTTATCCTTCTCCTGCAGCTGAACGTCCGAATGTTCCGAATCTTTTTGGACGCCACCGTCGAATTGCCGTCCGGACGAAGACTTCCGACTTTTTCGTTTTTCAAAGATAACACGGGGATCGGTTTGGGTGATCAGACCTTGATAGATGTTGGCGAACCCTTAGATCGTCTGTATTCCGCAGCTGAACGTCCGAGTGTTCAGAGTGCCGCCAAACGCAACGGTTCTCGCCCCCCCGGAAGAGGACGCAAACGGTACTTGGATAGGTGCGATCGGAGATCTTCAAACGAGATAGACTTTAACAAGAATTTTGCAATCGCGAAGCACTTATCTCTTTGCAGCTGAACGTCCGAATGTTCGGGTTGCCGCCAAACGCAACGGTTCTTGCCCGTCCGGAAGAGGATGACGACTTATTCAACGACGGCACGTGGATGGGCGCGATCGGAATTTTGTACCTGAGCCCTTTTGGGGAACAACGCAACATCACGGTCGTGATGGACTCGGAAGCGGACAGAGCCGGGCGTCATCCGTTTGTCACGGCGTGGGAAAGGACGACTCTTGACACCGTGAGTCTCCTTGCTTGACCGCATTGAGTGTCTCTATTGTGGCGGTGTTAAGATCTGCTCAGGGGCTGCAGCGCTCTGTGATTTCAGGCTAGCTTTTTGTAGCTGCAGCTCTTTGATCTATATTATTCCATGAATGCGAAAGCTCTTTGCTGCGGGAGTCGAAGCGGGCTTCAAAGTTCATGAGATCGAACCGGGAGGCAAACTTCTGGAATGCTTTGACGTGCGGCTTGTTCGACGCCTCCACAACTGGTAGTCGATCTTTCAGGAGAAAGCGGTACACTCTCGGCGTCAGCGTACGTAAAGTCGTCAGCCATAGAAATCTTAGGAAAGATTGGAAACAAGATACCGCAACCGGAATCCAAACCTCTATTTCTTCGGCTGCTGTCTCGGTTCCCGGGCTTTCGAGCCGGCCGCTTCTTCTCCTGGTCCTTCTCAGACTAAACGGGTCTCTCTCCAAACCAAACCCTCGCAATTTCCGTCGCAACCGGCTGCCTTTCCGTCTCTGACTAGCCGTTATCAAAGCATTATCATCAAATGAACGCTATGAGACATCCCTCGAGTGCCCGCCACCGTTCGGGGGGCAAAGCTTCCCTCTTCAGAGGTGAGAATCTACACCCCGGTCGATCTCTCGGAGATGAGAGTCTAGCTGATACTTGTCAGACCCTTCTTTTGAGAATCTTTGCACATTGAACGGTCCAAATCTGACGCACTTGAGGTCTTCCCTTAGAAGAGCTCCGTCTCGGCAGCTCCAGCGCGCAGCCAGACGCGTCACAACTTGATTGCTCTTTTCTTCTCTCATACGTCTATCTCTCTGGATTCTAATCTTCTGTGGTCTACTTTACGTTTCGACAGAGCACTATCTCCGGAAGCTCATGGATATCAACTCCTTCTCATACATTCTGATAATCGTCCTGCCGACTCAAAAACATGATACATGCTCTTCCAGGTCTCCCCTGGGAAGACGCCTACGGCCTCGCGACGATCCAGCGCGCGGGCGGCCGCGTCAGAACGTGCTTTCTCTTTCTTCCCTTATACTTTCAGATTTAGTCTGTTCTGACCTTCTGGGGTCTACAGTGCGCTTCGACAAAAAATAATCCGAGATGCTCGTTGATGTTTACTCCTTCTCATACATTCTGATTTTCGTCCTGCCAAATCACAAACATGATACATGCTCTTCCAGGTCTCCCCCTGGAAAAGTGCCGACGGCCTTGCGACGATCCAGCGCGCGGCCGGCCGCGTGAACGCGCTCTCGATCTCCGTCGCCGGCCTTCTCGAGATGGAAGTCAACACCGCGACGGAAGAGTTCATCATCGTGGATCCGCCTGTCCATTTCTTGAACGTGGACATCAAGAGGATTGCTACAAGCGGCCAAGTACATGGGGTGGGTGTGGATACGCTCGGTCTGATCGGCTTCGCGCTGGTGGAAGAAAGCTGAATGAAAGCTCAACTAAGCCTTTCACAACCGTAACTCCTCCCTTTGATCTGGTTGGTTCTTGGATTGAACGTGGCGCTTCAGCACGGTCGGTTTCCTCTTTTACATCTTCCGTTAGAGGGCCTCTCGTTGTCCCGTCGTTGGGTCGACGAAAGTCTACCCGAGCAACAAGCCGTAACCTCTCCCTGTTATGTGACGCAGTGCTTGACTTAGTTTGATGTTTCAGCAAGGTCGGGCTGCTCCTTTTCGCATCTTTGCTTAAAGAAGGTTCAGCATCGGGTCAAGTTCGCATCGG